GTCGCTGCTGCCCAGGATGCTGAGCAGCTCGTCGTCGGAGATGAAGAAGAAGCGCGGGAAGGCGTTGCGCTTGGAGTCCAGGTAGTCGTTGAGGCTCTTCTGGCTCTTCTCCAGCCCCTCGGCCACGTGCTGCAGGTCGGCCAGGCGGTTGGGGGCCTCACAGCACCTCTTGATCACCGGGTCCTTCAGGGTCTCGCCCATGATCTGCGCAGGGAGAGAGGGGGCTGGTCACTGGCGGAGGGACACCGGCCGGTACACGGTGGTATATCTTCTCCTTTCAACATTTTAAACAAACAACTGTTACTTTCCTTATGAAAATGAGCATTAAAAAGTTGCACTGTCATATGCATTTGTTCTATTTTTCTACACTTTCTAAAATTCTTAGCTGGATGTGACAGCGCCCACATGTCATCCCAGCACTCCGGAGGCTGAGGCAGGAGGACTGCTGCGAGTGTGAGGCCAGCCTGGGTTATGGAGTAAATTGAAGGCCAGCCTGAGCAAGACTTTATATCAAAAACAAAAAGAAAAAAGAAAAAAAAAAAAAAAACGAAGAGAAAAAAGATCCCTATCCTTAAGCAGATATCACTTTTATAATAAAAATAAGCACAAAGTGCATCACTGTCGTGGGCCAACAGCTAAGGGTCAGAAAGAAATTTTTACAAAACCGATGAAGAACACATATCATGACTGACAAAATGCAGATGCCCCGAAAGGAGGAAGCGTCCAGGCGCATGGAAAGTGAGCGCCTCCCTCCCGTCCGAGTCACTTGCCCTTCGGAACACCCTGTCGATGTTGTCAAACTTCTTGGCCTCGTCAGGGAGCTGCGACCGGATGTCGCCCCCGATGAAGATGCTCTCCAGGTACATCCACTTCCTCTGCACCAGCATCCAGCTCTGCGGGAACAGTGCCTGTCGGTGGGGACCCCCACGTGGGGCGGTGCCACGCCAGCCAGCACACTGAGCAAACACACAGCCGGTACCCACACCCCAACCAGCAGGTCCCCGAGCCCTGGGTCCTTTCCCGTGACTTCTGCTCCCCAAGGCCAAGAATACTCCAAAAATGCAGCACCATGAGAGATTCTGAGAGATTACATCCCTGTAGCTTTCATTACAGCATATTGTTCCAGTTGCCCTGTTTTCTTCTGCCTGTGTTAATCTCTTACTGCACATAACTTATAGGTCACTTTTCATTGTGGCGAAGACTATGGGAAATAACGGGGTGTCCAGACCTCAGTTCTAGCTGCGGTTTGGGGAACCGTCAAAGTAACCTGGAGCACATTGTGCCCTGGGGGGGAGGGGCGAGGGGCAGCACTGCGCAGAAATGCTGGAGAAAGCATGACAAAATATTTTAAGATACACAGTTGCACTCAAAAGCAAACGCGCACACACACACACACACACACACACACACACACACACAGCAAAAATAAGCCGAGCGTGGTGGCGCCCACCTACAATCCTAGCACTTGAGGAGGCTGAGGCAGGAGGATCACCAAGCTCAAGCCCAGCCTGGACAACTTACTGACTCAGCAAGAGCCTGCCTTAAAATTTAAAAATCCAAAGGGATGCAGATGTAGCTCAGTGTGACAGCCCTGGGTTCAACCCCCAGTGTGCAAAAGGAGGAGGAGGAGGAGGAGGAGGAGGAGGAAGAGGAAAAGTAAACTCTCCGTGCCAGCCCAGGCCAAGGAAGAGAGTCCTAGTTAGGAGCAGAGCATGGAGCCCAGTGACCCTCAGGCCTCAAGGGCAGGCAGTGCCAGAACAGCCAAGTGCCACATGCTCATAAGCTCTCTGTCTCAGTCTGACCCCCCCCAAAAAAAAAACTGGCAAGAGAGACTCAAACACACAGCCAAACAAATGCTGACTGTCCACACTGGGGAATATTACTCAGCCATGAAAAAGAATGGAGCCCCATAGGCTACAACATGGATGAACCTTGAAAATCTTATGCTAGGCACAAAAAACACATAGTGTCTGGCTCCACTTACATGAAATCTCCAGAGAGGAAAACCCAGAGAGACAGAAAGTAGTGGTGTGGCCAGGGAATTGGGGGTAGAGATGACTGTTCAATGGGCCTGGGGCTTTCTCAAGGCTATGAGAATGTTCTGAAACCAGGCAGAGGTAGCGGGCACACTCTGCCAGCGTACTAAATGTCACTAAGCATTCACCCTCGGGTGCTTCATTTCCTGTGCTGTGATCAGCCCTTGTGTTTTTGTTTCAAAATTAATTTAAAAGTTGTAAACAATAAACAGAAGTCACTGCTGTGGCCTATACAAGGGCTCCCGCATATACACACCACAGATAAAGCAGCTAGCAAGTCAAGGAAGCTCAGGTGGGAGGGACGGACGGCCAGGCCGTGATCCCATCCCTGGCCGGGGAACCAGGATGGACCCTGGGCCTTTGTCGCCCAGTACCAGGAACAAGGTGATGAGGGACCCTTGGGGGAAGGAGCCCGTCACCCCAAGCAGGAGCAGCCTGGGTGGCGCTGAGAGCTCTGGACCCGAGTCACCCATGAAGGAAAAGGCCCCAGGCCGCCAAGTGCGGGACGCGAGGGGCAGGCCAGACAGCAGGGACCACAAAAGCACACAGCGAGGCGAGGCAGCACAGACAGACAGACAGACAGACAGACAGACAGACAGACAATCCCCAAAAGCACACAGCGAGGCGAGGCAGCACAGACAGACAGACAGACAGACAGACAGACAGACAGACAATCCCCAAAAGCACACAGCGAGGTGAGGCAGCACAGACAGACAGACAGACAATCCCCAAAAGCAAAACAAAATGGTACTGATGACCTGGTAAGAAGTGAAAATCACACAGAAAAAAGCCACTACCGCAAGGACTGACCACAGACCCAGAAAAGGAACGAGTTCTTGCCCGACACAGTGGAAAGTCCAGAGAGAGCCAAAAAGGAGTTGAAGCATGTTCACCGTTTTCAGTTTGTAAAGGAAACAAATGCATCCTCGCAACGAGAACAGGGTAGGACTGAAGAAGAGGGACACACTGAATGAAAGACAGTCACCCTGGAAATTAAAAAGGCATCCACTGAAATAAAAACGCAGATCAAAGTCTGGTGTGGTGGCGCATATCTGTCATCCTGACACTCTGGGAGGCTGAGGCAGGAGAAGCACAAGTTCCAGCCCAGCCTGGGCCACACAGTGACTTAGTGAGACGCTGTCTCAAAAGAAAAAATATAAGAAAGGGCTGGGGATGTGGCTCTGGGGTAAGGCCTTTGGTTCCATCCCAGTAGTGCCCCAAACTCCAATCACACACTCATCTGTCCCCCAAAATAAATCATGACAGAGGAGCTGGAGAGAGGCTGTTATGCCCCACCCCTGTCCCACCTCGATGACCTCCCCAATGAGCGACAGCGTCTTCTCCCACTTGTGCACGGTCTGCAGAAATGGCCCCACGAATCTGCTGCCCGAGATGCTCTGCAGGTTGACCACATTGTCATCCAGACACTGGACGATGTCGTCCACAGAGCCCAGGATGTAGCCCCGCTCCTGCGTGCCCTTGTAGTACTTCACCACCGAGAACTTCATGGCCTCCCACGTGTCCAGGATCTCCTTCACGGCCTGCAGGGCAGGAGGGGACCATGGCCCATGGTGGCAGTCAGGCATGGGAAGAGTCCAGGCTCTTCCAGGCCACAACAGTCCCTGCTACCATGGGGACAGCTACGTGCTGGAGAAGTGTGTAAAGCGTGTAACACGGATGGTCTCGCCCAGTTCCCAAGCAGCTCCACTCGGTAGGGTGGTGAACACAGAGACACCAAACGTGGGCCTCGGTGGGGTGGCCAGGGCCCACGTGCTTCCGGGTCCTCTGGGTATCTTCTACTGCTGAGGAGAAGGTCATATGAGGACAGTGCCATTCCCCAAATGCCGTATCTGTGGATAAGTACCTCGGCATGTGCATCTGTGTATGCCTGCGCAGACGTGCATGCTACATGCAAGTGTGTACATGTGTATGTGGACACTGTGTGTCCAGGTATATACAGCAATCTGTGAACATATGTACAGTAGGCATATGTCCACATACATGAGGGTATATATGAGCCATGATGGAAATATACAGTAAATGTTTATCTTTCCTTTTTTTTTTTTTTCGATACTGAGAATCAAACCTGGGACCTGGTGCATGCCAGGTAGGCGCTTACGGTGCTGAGCTATCTCCCAGCCCTACATTTCAAAACTTGATTGCAGTAACAAACGACACAGGGCCGTGGCTGCCCTTCCAAATCCCGCCCCTGCTGCAAACACGTTCACCCCATCCTTCTTGCCACTTTCCAAGCAGCTCTGGACCCTCCTTCCTGCCTTCACCGCGTGCCTCAGATAGTGAGTGAGCGGTGGCTCAGAAGAGCGGGAACTGTGTGTCCCCGTCCCCCCCCATTTACCAGATCTGGCCCTGTGTGACTTCCGGTTCCCCCCTAAAGCCACAGTGACCACGGAAGGCCAACGTTCTGCTTCTGAATCCGTTCTGGGCCCTGAGGCAGCCCTGACAGCGGAGTGAGCAACAGACACTTGGCAAAGAGGACGTCAGAAAGGGCAGGAGCGACCAGGCGAGTGTGCTCAAAGCGAGGCGGAGGCCTCGGAGCAGTGTTCCGGGCACCATGTCTCTTACTGTAATATGCTTTTTTTAATTTCAACATTCACTATGCTTTGGGCCACACCTTGTCCCCCGGAGGTGTGTGAGCATGCGCATAACTGAGCTGCGGTGTGCGAAAGTCTGGGTGTGTGCGTGCGTGGGTTGGTGTGCTGCGCATGCGTAGTGTGCGTGCACAGAGGCGTGCACATGCACGTGTACAGGTGTGCGCATGCTTTTCTCTGTGTCAGGAAGGACCTCTATCAAGTGTTAGTAAACGGCTGGGCCGGGGACGCGGCTCAGCGGCACAGCGCCTGCCGGTTACAGCTCTGCACGCGGTGAGAGGGTGAGCGACCTGCTTCTTTCTTTCATTCTGGCCGGGAACATCCACTATTCTACAGCGAACAAGGGAGAGCGCAGCTATAGTCAGGAAGGTGAAAACCCAAGTGAGGCAGGAAAACCCCTTTGGGAAGGAAGCGGCCCCTCGCACCTTCTCGATGGCAACTTCCTTCACGGCGGCGGTGACGATCTCATTGAGGATGTCCGTGTGCTTGTGGAGCTCCATGGCAAACATGTTCTCCAGCGTGAACGTATCAGTCATTTCAAAAAAGACGCCCGTCTTCTCCATGAGCTCCTTCCAGTGCCTAGGAGCACATCCACATTGAATAGCCTTCCTGCGGGCACAGCTGGCCATGCACCGTCGTGCCCAGGAGAGCCCGGTGAGTGGGTCCCGCTGTTCCCAATCCCGGATGCCTGCGTCGCCCCAGGGGGCCACGTACTGCAAGGTGGCACCGGATGGCGTTCTCACAGCCCTTGAGAGCACACGCAGCCTGGCACCTCGCCCCACTGTGGCTGCAAATTGTTGTGTGGCATTGGTTCCCTCAGGACTGGGGATGGAGCCCAGGGCAGGCGCCAATCACCAGGCTACACCTCAGCCCCTGCACTTAGACGGCTCTGAGTACTATGGGAACAAAATGCAGTGTGCCAGAGGACCTAAGAAGGGCCACCTCTGGGCCAACGAGACAGCTCAGTGGACTGAGCACCTGCTTAGGCAAGCGCAGACCCGCATGCTGCGTTTGACTCGGATGGCCCTGCCCCTGGGCATGCTGAACCAGCCACTCAGACTGGGTGTGGTGGCACATGCCTGTAATTCCAGAGCTGGGGAGGCTGAAAGAGGAGGAGAGCCCCTGTACCAAATACTAAAAAAAAAAAAAGGGGGTGCTGCCTCAGGCAGGAGGCCCTGCTCACAGTCCTGACCTCACTGCCAGGACCAGCTTGGACTGGCCCAGCCCCACCTCCCTCCACCGACCCTAGCTGGCCCGCGGGTTTGCCTGCCTCTGACTCCCATGATGTGGGGTGGACATCAGGGAGGCTGCGGGCCACAGCGTGGGACGGCAGAATGGTGGGCCCCAGCCCAGAAGGACCCTGAAGCAGTCAGAGAGAACAATCGCTGCTCCCTCAGCCTCTGTAATCCTGGCCCACCCAGGACTGACAAGAATTGGGTATGTGACTCTGGTCACAGGCTAAGGACCCACAGACATCAGACAACATGGGCTCATCCTGGACAAGGGGACTCCATCTGTCCCCCTCCAGGCCTCCTGCTTCTTCTAAGGTGAGTTCTAGGCTGGGCACACTATGTGCCCAACACCTCCTAGAGGCTAGGCCTCCTACAGGACAGGCAGCAGTTTTGAGCTAATTTTTTCAAATTATTTTTATTTTTGGCCAGGCATAGTGGTGCACACCTGCCAGCCTGAGGTACATAGCAGGACCCTGTCTCCAAAAAAAAGTAATTTTACTTTTGTAATTCCTATTTCTGGGGGCCAGAGAGATAGCTCAGTAGAATAAACTGTCTGGCAAGCACAGGGTCCTGAGTTCAATCCCCAGTACTACCAAAAAAAAGTAAAATGTTTAGGACTGGCCAAATAGCTCAGCAGATTAAAGCACCTGCAAGCAGGCACTGGGGCCAGGGTTTGATCCCTGGGCCTGCAGTGTCCCATCCCCAAGGTGAGCTGAGATGGCAATTGAGACTGGCCATAGTAGCACATGCCCATAATCCCAGCTCTTGGGAGGCTGCAAACAGGCAGATCACTAGGAGTCAGATCTCATAGTGAGACCCTGAATACCCTGTAGACCCTTCCCTAAAGTACCAAAAAAAAAAAAAAAAAAAAAAATCCTATTTCTGGCAAGTGCGTCTGGGTTTTTTGCTTATACTGGTGATGGGCGTTTCTATTCAGAATGCATTCATTTAAGGAAAAGATAAAACTAGCTGGGCATGGTAGTGCAGCCTATAATCCCAGCACTTGGGAGGCTGAGGCAGGAGGATCACTGAGAGTTCAAGGCCAGCCTGGGCTACTAACAAGAATGGAGGAATGGAAGGAAAGGAGGAAAAGAGGGAGGGAGGGAAGTTGGAAGGGAAGAAGGGAGGGAGACAGAGAGAGAGATCCTGACTAACATCATGGAAAGGCTTGAGGAAACCTAAGTTACAGGGTCACAGAGCTGGTACGTGCTGCTAGAAAACTTTGAGTTTCACAGCTTAGAACAGTGACACCTACAAAGCCAGCCAGCCAGTGAGGACAGTGACACAGATGGGCTGAGAGCCAACATCCCTGAGCCTGAGGGACAAACAGGGACACAGAGCTGTCCAGGGCACATGGGCACTTGAGAGACTTTCTCAGCCAGGTATAGTGGCGCACGCCTGCAGTCCAGCCCTCTGGGAGACTGAGGCGGGTGGCCCTCAGAGTCATACCCAGCCTAGGCAGCTTGGCAAGGCCCTGTGTCAAAATAAAATTTAAAAAATTAAAAGGGACTGCGATGCACCTTAGTGCAAAGATACCAGGTCCAGTCCCTAGGGTCTTTCTCTCTCTCCTCTCTCCTCTCTCTCCCTCTCTCGCTCCCTTCCTCTCTCTCTCTCTCCCCGTCTCTGTATCTCTCTCTCACACACACACACACACACGCACGCACCCACGCACGCACGCACGCACGGTTCCCTAGGGTGATAATTTTCTTTTTTCTTTTTGTATTTTAGTAGAGGGTCTACAGAGTCTCACTGTGTAGATCGGACTCGCCATGGTCTGCCTGTGTTCAGCCTGCCAAGAGCTGGGATTACAGGCACGCACCACCACGCGCAGGCTCAATCACTGTCTCAGTGCGCCCCGGGGGCGGGGCCGGCAGGGCACGCCAGGGATTAAACCCGGCTGCTGCATCTGCCTAAGCAGGCGCTTTAATCCGCTGAGCTAGGCCAGCCCAAGGGGTGATAATTTTCTAGACACACTGCCATATCTATCTACAGTTCCATGTCTCTGCTGGGACCCCAATACATTGTAAAGGCTCCTCTCACGCCCCAAGCAGGCCAGGCTGGGACAGGGCCAACCTGTCTCTCAGCGCCTCGTGCTTCAGGTCGAGGAGCAGAGGGATGGAGTCCTTGAATGCCTTCATCTTCATCTCCAGATGGTAGGCGATGGACAGGGCGCGCACGGCCCGGGGCAGCTTCTTGAGCGCCTTTAAGTAGCCGTCCACGCCCTCCTGCAGCAGCTGCACGTTCAGGTTGACCCACAGCGTCTGCGACCACTCCTCCTTGGCAGCCTGGGGCGCGGGGAAGCGTGCAGCGGTGAGCACCGCAGGTGGCGGCGATCTGCCCCATCTGTCCGTCTGTCCGTCCATCCGTACCCCCATGGCATGCCACAGGCACACGGGAAGGACCTCAAACTGTCAGACAAGACCCCAACACAGGCCCACTCTGTGACCACAGGGACGCATCTGCGTGTTACATGCTCCTGAGGTGGAACCCCAAAAGCCCTTCCGTGCAAACACTCGTCTGCACTTGCAGCTTCTCACACCCAGGCCTGACAAAGCCTCCAGAGGTCACGGACTGCAGCCGGAAGTTGTGTCCCTGGATGGCGGCACTCAGGGTTCTGGCTGTGGACCTCGGGCACACGTGCCGCCATGACACCTCTGCATGTGCCATTTCTCCTCCTTTCTGTCTTCTCAGGTAGAGATTTGGAAGGGACTCTCGCCAGTCGCTTCCTCATCGCGAGAGGGCGGTATGGTGCAAAACCTGGAAATCCTGGACACTGAAGCCCTTCCTGGGTCCCCGTTCAGTCCCCTCTGTCCTGTCTCTCGTGCCTGCCCAGGCCTTGGCACCCCCTCGCTCCCACAGCCTGGCCACCCAGTCCCTCAGCAGACACAGCACGGTTGACAGCTGCTGAACCTTGCCCCGGGCCCCCAGCTAAGTCCAGGCCCTGATCCCCAATATCAGCTGGCTCACCTCGGCCCGTCGGCCCCTCCCGTAGACCTGTGTGCCTCTGTGCTTCTGCTCACCTCAGTGCACACTATGGGGGAAACTGAGGCAATCCAAACTCACCCCCAAAGCACCTTGCGCATACACTGTACCTTTCTGTGCGACAGCCAATGGACCTGTCTGTCCCTACCTGAAGCTACCCCTTGACCCTGTCCTTTCCCATGGACTCAAAGACCCCAGACATCTCTAAAGTAAACCTTCCCTCCCTATCCTCTCCTCTATCCCAGCAGACAAATGTGGCTGTCCTTCCTTCACCTTTGATGAAATCCTCCTAGCCCACACCACTCCCTGCTTCCCGCCTCCCTGGACAAGGAGGAAACCCAGAAAAACCCGGCAATACTTGGTGTCTCTAATCCTGTCTTCCAGTTCTCAGTGTTTCTCCTAATAGCTTTGTGTTGCTTTGTCTGTTGTTTTTGAGACAGGGTCTCCCCATGTGGCTCAGGCTGGTCTTGAACTCACTGTGCAGCGTAGGTTGGCCTTGAACTTGCAGCAGTCTTCCTGCCTGAGTCTCCTGAGTGCCAAAAGTCAAAGGGTGCGCCGCCATGCTAGCCTTTTTTAAAATAGCTTTTCTGAGAACTTTTGGGCATAGTAAGCTGGACTTCCTTGTCCAGGAACGACCTTGTCCCTGTCGCTGGGGACAGAAGTATTGAGCGTCGTGGTGGCAGCTAGACCTGCAGTCCCCGTGCTTTGGTGGCAGAGATGGCACTCACCTAGTGCTCAGGACAGAAGTGAGTTCTCGAGCTGGGCAGCACCTGGCTCAAGCGGTCTGCAGGAGGCCGCGCAGCTCCAGGCCCTGCGGTCCTCGGTGCCTACAGACTGCCCTATCCCCTGGGTGACACTCACCTTCAGCCCCTCGTAGAGCTCATAAATCATCCGCAGCCCGCCCATCTCCTTCTGCACTTTGAGCAGCTGCGGGTACATCGTGATGGGGAGGTCAAAGAGCTTCTCCGCATTCGCCAGCTCCTGGCGGTTTTTCTCATGTTTTGCCATCTCCCTTTCAAAAGTGTTTAACAGCTCTACTCCTAGGAGACGGATGCATTAGTAGGTGAGTAGGTAGGGCCAGGCCCGTAAAGCCAGCGCTCTGGGGGGCTGAGGCAGGAGGATCACAAGTCTAAATCCAGCCTTAGCAACCTAGCAACTTAGGCAGCCCCTGTCTCAAAACTAAAAATCTAGCTCAGCGCAAAAGCCCTGGGTTCAATCCCCGAGTGCACAAAATTAAATTGATTAATTGAATGTCAGAGTGTACAAAACTGAATAAGAAGGTGTAAGTCATGTATATAAATGATAATTAGATCCGATTTGATTTGAAACTGTCTCATTGCTATCTGTTTATCAATAAAACTGTAGAAAAAAAAACAAAAAAAAATGATAATTAGAGTCTACTATAGTTATAAATTATTGCCTTGGTTACTTTTCTCTCGGTATTGAGACAAAATATCCGACACCCAAAATTAAGGAAGGAAAAGTTTACTTAGTTCACAGTTAGTGGAGGTTTCTGTCCATATTCCACTGGCTCCAAGGCAGAGCGGCACATGGCGCAGGGCAGCAGCTCATGGTGCAGAAAACAGCGAGACAGCAAGAGCCAAAGGGCAGGAACAGCGCAACAATGGCGGAGGCAAGCCTCTCCCCTCCTCATCTGCCCCAGTCTGGGTGCAGCACGCACATCCCTAATCCCAGCAGTACTCGGGCCCATAATCCAAGCCTTTGATCATGAATTAATCTCAAACTCTAGAACCATACCCCACTGAGTGCATGAGGCTTTGGGGGGGCAAATACACACAAAGCATAACAATTATAATTTCATGTATATAAATTATACTTTCCTAAGCCACAGGAAGAGACAAATCTAGACTGCCTCACACTCTCATGCCACAGCCCAGGGGCAGCTGCAGGCGGCTCCAGGTGCGAGAGCTCTAGTCTGAAAATCCTCTCTAATTCTTAGAGCCAGGGCAGTGTCCAGGTCATCCGTCCTCCACGATCTGCCCAGCTTTGGAAACTTAGTCACCGGCTGGGGACTCACTTTCCATTCTCACTGCGTTTGTCCCCAGCCCCCAGGTCACCCATACCACGGCATCACTAGCCAGGCACCCGGCCAGGTGCCACCTTCCCAAGGCCCTCCTTGGTGACCTGCTTTACCAGTACCCTTGGCGGCCTTCAGTGTACCTGAGGCTCACAGATTCACCGTGACCTCTTTAGAGTAAGCTTTAGGACTCCCATCTTGTCCCCTTCTGGCCAATGCTATTTAAAGGGCAGGAACAACTCACTGCGCAGTTCAGGCTGGCCTTGAGCTGACTCTGTAGCCCCGGCTGGCATCAACTCGCAAGGATCCTCCTGCCTCAGCCTCCCAAGTGCTGGGATGACGGGGGGGTGCCATCCCACTAGCAATAATCTTACCTTTATCAAGGTCTTCCCCAACTGTGCCAGGGCCTTCGCTGTAAAAGCGCCTTGAAAAGTCGTCTATCTCCCTTCGGTAGTTCATTATTTCTCCGCGAGTAATCTGGAGAAGGCAGGTCGCACTCACTCAGCCCGGGTGCGCCCCCTGCAGTCTCCCGTGGACGTGGACGCGGTGCGCAGGGACCGTACCTCGGTGAAGGTTCGCTTTATGCCCCCAAGCGCATGCTCCACGTTCACAGAGTCACTGAAGAGGTTGAGCCACATGCTCTCAATCTTGTCTACCAGCTCCCTCTCTGCATCGGAGGGCTGGCCAAAGAGAAGAAAGTAAAGCAGACCAAGTAATCCCCAGCAACTCTGTCCTGAAATTTCCAGACAGAGTTGCTGTCCAGACTCCTTTTCCATTCATACCAGGGTAGGGCATTGCAACCAACTGGAAAATACTGGGTGAAGTATTTTTTGTAACAAAAAAAATTTTTTTTGTAGTACTGGAGATTGAACCCAGACTTTTACACTGAGCTACATCCTGGGTCTTCCCCCCCCCCCTAGGCAGTGAGGCAATGTCTCTTGGCTGGGCTCAAACTCAAATCCCAGAGTGCTGGGATTACAGGCATGCACCACCATCTATTATTTGATAAAATGACATCAGACGATATGGTGGCGCGCACCTGTAATCCCAGCACCCAGGGCTGAAGCAGGAGGATCACTGTGAGGCCAGCCTGGACTGCACAGGGAGACCCTGTCTCAAATCCAGTCTGTGCTTGGTCAGTTATTCTAAGGATGCCCACGGAGCTCCACGCCGGCCACCCTGCAGGAGGCTGACTTACGAAGACGTGATAGATCGCCATTGTCCGATAGCGCTCCTGGACATCCCTGTATCTCAGCTCCATGACTAAGGATTTACTTCTGATCTCCGCGATCGTCGCGAGGACGAATTTGAGGTCCTCAAGAGTACTGGGGCTTTTCTTGAGGTTTCTGTTCAAAAGCTACGAAAGAAGCAGGGCAGGTCACAGTGCCGGTCCCCAGGGAGCGCATGGACAGCGCCCGCCCACCGGCCCAGGTCGCACCTCGATCTCCTCCTGCAGGCTGTACAGCTCCTCGCGGGCGGAGTCGTTGAGCAGCCGGCCCAGCGAGTTCACCCAGGACTTGGCCGTCTCCTGCATGGTGGTGGCCAGCGGCCCCAGCAGGAGCCGGATGCAGTGCTCGTCCTTGACCAGCGGGTGGCGCAGCACGTCGTCGGCGATCCGCGAGTAGAACTGCAGCTTCTCGTCGAAGGAGGCGCAGGGCGGCTTGCGGGAGGCGAACTTCTCCATCACGATGGCCTTGTCCAGCTTCCAGAGCGGCCGGTAGCGCTTCCAGCGCTGTAGGTACTTCGTGAGGCTCACCAGCAGCCGGTGCACGTTCTGCGGGATCAGCACCGCCTGCTCCGTCACCTGCGGGTTCCGGGAGACGTCGCTGTGGAAGCTCAGCATGACCACCTCCTCCTCCTCGCCCTTCTGCGGGGGGCACTCGATGCAGCTGCCGTGCATCCACCGCACGAAGTGCTGCCGGGAGACAGGGCGGGGTGTCAGCATCCGGGGCCTTCACCCCCAGACCTCCATCCCCCACCCTTCTGACGCGAGGTGGAACTGGAACAGCTCTCCTGCCTCAGCCTTCCAAGCGCCACCACACGGTAGCTCTGTCCTCACCGCGAGGGTTCAGAGCAGTCTACAGGCAACAGACACAAACTGCAGCTTGGACAAATGAAACATGTTTGCCTCCCTACTCAGAGAAGCGAAAGCACACAGGGTTGCCGAAGCCACTGTCCCAGAACAAACCCACAACCTGACATCCCCCGGATGGTGGTTGTCACTGTGGTACTGAGGCTTGAGTCTAGGGCCTTCACACTGAGCTACAGCCCTACCCCTGTATTTGGTCTTTGGGTTTTTTTGAGACAGGATCTCACTAAGTCACCCGAGCTGGGCTGGAACTTGCAGTCCCCCTGCCTCAGCCTCCTGTGTTGCCCCACATTCATGCGGCAGAGCATGAGGCGGTCACCCTACGTGCCCTGCACCACTCCACAGCCCCTGTGAAGCAGGAATCTCAGCAGGCCCACTCCTAGGCTGGTGCCAATGGGACACAAGTGCCGACTCAGACCCCGCCGGGACTCAGCACCAGCACTCGCTGAGCCGGGTCCTCGGCCTCCTGTGCGGCAGGGGGCTGCTGTACTTACCCACACCCACGGCCCCAGATCCTAGCTGCAAACTGATGCCTGTTCCTCCCAGCCACGAACCCGAGCCAGAAGGCCACTGAGCCACACAGTGCCCCAGGCTAACCTGCATGGTCATTTAGAGAGACTTTTTCTTCAATGAAATCCACCTTTAATGTTTTCTGTTTTTGTCTTTGTTTGTCTTTTTGAGACAGGCTCCTGCTATGCAGTTCAGGCTGGCCTTGAGCTCACTTTGTAGGCCAGGCGGGTCTTGAACTCACGATGACGACCCTCCTGCTTTTGCCTCCCAAGTGCTGGGATGACAGCTGTGCGCCACCACGCCCAGCTCTATTTGCATTTAAAAGAAAGCACGAAGATCTAGCGCTCCGACCTCCTCAAAGCCTCGGTCCACCTGCAACGGGGCCATGCTGCAAGTCGTGTGTGCACTGCTGGGCGGCCCGTCCTTCCTGCTCTTCTGCAAGGGTGAGCTCTGCCTCCTGGGCAGCCTCAGCGCTCTAACCCCCTAAGCCAACAGAATCCGCGCCGCACAGGCTTGCAGGGCGACTTCCTTAGCGTCTGAGAGCAGACACAAGGGTGTTCCAAAAACACAGGAAAAGCTTACACTGTAAAACTTTATTTCAGCAAAGTCCACTGGCCATTAACCCCTCCCCAGTGGCCCTCCTCACTTCACACACACCGATCCCATCCCGCTGGCCACTTTCTGCCGCAGCTTTCAAGTTCTCCTCCCAGAGAGTCTTCGCAAATGTGATTAAAAAAAAATA